GCCGCCCCAGCCCTGCGGGCGGGGTGGGCCGCGGTGCGGCGCTGCGGCCCGCGGCTGTATTTCGTCACAGCGGAGGCAGCCTTCCACTTTCACCGCGTTCTTTTCTTTTTCTTAAGTTGTCAAAATCTGAGCGTCATTGTTTTCCATCTGTGTAAATAATCAGATCCGGTAACGTTATTACCTGCCGAGAGGCTGGAGGACTAATTACCTCTTAAGTGCTTGCAGGGGAAGTTGGGCTGCGCAGAAGCAGAGGGCTGACCTCTCTGGGTCAGTACTTTCGGGGTGGTGAGGCTGGCGTTCAGAATGCCCAAAGCAGTGTGATTAGGTCACAATGTGTATTTTCGTATTAAAGGAACAAATATGGAAATCAGATGACATTCCCGAGCCATAAAACAACTTACCTGCCCCCTGAAAACTGTTCAAGCTGATTTATGGGATGAAGGTTGCAGAACCCTAAGAACTGGACCTAGAATGACCTTGAGAGGCTGGTAGAACCACAAGTTGCATGAGAGGAAGGGAGCTTGGGAACAGAACAGGGCCTCTGGACCCAGATTAGAAGCTAGAGGTGCGGTGGAGAGTTGCGGGGCAGACCAGAATTATCCACAAGTTTCACCTTGGCCCACAAACTGGGCATGAACTGTTTCACCGGGCCGCTTAAATTTTTACTACTGGCTCCCGTATTCTTGTCATTTGACCTATAATAAAGCTCTTTTTCTTTGTGAAAGCCCATGCTGTAGTGTTGACTTCTGTGAGCCTCCAGCAGTGAGCCCTAGTTCAGTCATAATATTATGTATGTGCTTTTACTTCTTCAAATTGACCTTCTGTCTTGGGGTTGAACTCTGACTGGGATGTCTCTATGCTGTTGTAACAAGATTTTCAATTGCTAAGGAACACGTTGCAGATATTCTGCTTTGTGCCAGTTCCTGGTCAAGAGACTTCTAGCAGCTCAACCTTTGGCACACTGCAGAACTGAGAAAATTGTTAGGAAAGTTCTGGCTCCTCGCTTCAGTACAAGTTGAGTGTCTTTTTTTTTTTTTTTTAAATTATTACGACCAACATTTGCAAAATGTATTATCAGTTCAGTATGTTTTCTCTCTAATGTCTTTTCCTCCATTCAAAGAGAACTGCAGATGGAGGCAGAGAAGGGTGGCTAGTATTCTGTACCTGCACTTGTCCTTATATAACCACATTTCATTCCAGTATCAGCCAAGTCTTACTATCCTTTTGGACTGTCTGGACCATCCCTATTCCCTGTGAGTTAATTCTTAGAGGGGGAACACATGGCACTTGAAGTTAAGGCACAAATATTCAAGGAAAACTGTGCATTATAATGTAATCCAAGCATTGGCTGTATAAAGGTAGCTGAGATAGTGCTGAATAGTGGGGCAGGTTGGGTGCAGGTAGGGTGGAATAAATACTCGGAAATCTTTCTGTTTGATGAGAAAAAATTATACAGACTTTTTCACTGTGGGGAGTTGGGAAAGTCTCTATAACACTGATGCTTAATTTATACAGGGATACATCCTCCTTGAGCCAGCTAGACACTCTATCCATATTTCATTTTCTGTTCATATTTCAGATTCTTTTCTTGCTGGTTTACCTACCTTTAGGTCTGCTGCTACTTCTGGATTTATTCCTTCAGTCAAGAGTCTTCATGGTTGGTTTGAACTGATATGTCTTGTGTACTATATTGGTTCCAAAGCAAGAGGTTGAGAAAACTGGCTCAGGTGGATCTGAAACCACTCATTCTTCAAAGAACATATGTAAAGGAACTGCCCTCTACTTCTTTCATTTCATGTAACTGCTGTTTCTGATTTTTTTGCTTTATTTTTCAGTCTTCCTTAACCTTATTTAAGATAGCTATTTTTGCAGTTGTTACTTATCCAAGGTCTCTTCTTCAGGGATCTCATCCTTTGCATAATTTGTATTCTGGTTTTTTTTTTTTTTTAATGCCTTTGTTAATGCCTTCACCTTAGAAATGATTGAGTAAAGTACATAGCTTTGAAAGGTTCTGCTTGCTTAACCAAGAATTGTTTCATAGTGTTCTGTTCTGCTTTTTAATTTTGTATTTTTAGAAGTCATAATAAGTAATTTTGAATTGTATTGAAGAGGTACAGTATTTGGGGGCCTTTTGTAAACAGTGTAAAATGAAAGTATCAGCATGACAGAACAACTTTTTATCAGAAACTTTGTATATTTTTGTACAACCAGGGAAGGAAAGTCCTATTTAGAGTAGTTTTTCTTATATAGGAGTTTTTCTTATATAGTCCTATTTAGAGTAGTTTTTCTTATATAGGAGTCAATTTCCAAGAAAAATCAAAAGTTCTTGGTTCTTCTTTTGTTTCTTATAACTCGATGCTGTTCTTTTCAAGCCGCATTAATTCATAAAATCATTGTATGTGAATGCCCTCCAAAGACCTAGATCTGAGGGAGGAAATTGCCAAGTCACAAAGAAAAGATAATTCAGACTGGAAAATGGGAAACCTCAAAAGGTTTTAGAAAATCTCCTAGACCTATTTCTGTGGCTTATGAGAATATATCAGCAGTTATCTAATCTTCAAAAACAAAAAACTAAAGGTTGAGAGTGCTTTTCTAGTATAGTCTTAAGAGACCTGCGCCCTAATGTTGTAACTCAAGCTTCTTCACTCATGAAACCCAACAGGCTGTTCTCTTTGCCTGGGCCTCCCTGCCTCTCTCTAGGAGGGCTTCTTTCATAGCCCGTTTTTCCCATCTCGGCTTTGCCTCTGTTTCAAATGTATCTGGTCTGTTGTGGACAGTACTGCATGTATTTTTTCACGAAGTCATGTTAATTAAGTGTCCTATTTTGGGATTTGAGGAAAGAGAGAAAAAATTTTTTTCTAATTATAGTATTGTAAGTATAGTAGACTCATAAAAAAGTGGAAATAAAAACTACTGGCTATTACTAAAAACAGAAAACAAGGGACAACCAGAAAACAAAGAAGAAAAATGACTGCTTACACCTTATCAAACATTATGCTTTCTAATTTTGTTCTCAGGGTTTGACGTGCCATGGAAAGAAGGGAGGGTAGCCCTGTGGGGACAGGCTGTGAGGCCAGCCTGCCTACATTTGAATCTTGGCTGTAGTACTTATTAGCTGTCTTTTTTTTTTTTTTTTTTTTTTTTAGTTTTTCTCTGGTACCGGGAATCGAACTCAGGACTTTGCACTTGCCAGGCAGGCGCTGTGCCGCTGAGCTAAATCCCTAGCCCCTTAGCTGTCTTATAGTTGCTAAATTACTTAAACCCTCTGTGTTTCAGTTTCTATTCTGCAAAATGGAGATAATTTTACTTAATACATAGGGTTGTTGTGAGAAATAAATGAGTGTATTATAAAATGTATAATGTATTAACAAGAACAACGTCTGACAACTAGTACTCAGTAATTAGCTATCATTTCTGTTATTGCTGATCATTCATAAATGCTATTTTTTAGACTCTATAGTCTTCTTTTTGCCTCTAATCCAAATTCTTCCTTCAAGTGGTTAGACTGTTCACACATGTATAAACTTTGTACATGCGAGAAATTGAGCATGGCCAGAAGATTTCATTAATTTTGGTTGCTAAGTTGAGTTGCTTCAAAACATTCCCCCTGTAAGCAGCCCTTTGAGGGTAGGCATGAAACCCTGCCTTAAAGAAACAGTTGGAATGCCTTGGCCAGAATTACAGTGGCGGCTGACATAATTTCCTTACTTCTCATTCCTGTGTACAAGCCATTTGACGATTTCCTTAAAACTTTTTAAACTTATGATTAATAAAGCCAGAACTGTTGCTCGTTTTCTCTCCTCCTGCTGCTGCTGTCACACTGACTACTTTTTGTACGTATGACTTCCCAACTTCTACCACATCAAAGCATCTGGTTTCTTAAATAAACAGGCCCTGTAGAGAGGCTGTGTTGTATACGCCGTCAGCTCTGAGAAGAATGTGTGTGTTTGTTTGCGGCACTGGCAGGCCTGGATCCAGGCTGACAGGACTGACTCTGCCTGTTGGAGACCTCAGGGAGCTGCTGCTTACAGCCTGTTGTTGAGGATCACCAGACTTTTTTAACACCCGGAAATCTGAGGGTCAGTCGGTGCCTTTAACTGCCCTAGAACTTCCTAACTGCCTCATTTATTCCAGTACTTGGCCTTTCTTCATCCTCCCTTCTCCAGCAATGGCTTTCACACTTTAGCTTAATCTTCTCTTCCATTCATTTTTGGGTCAAGGCATAGGAATTCTGGAGGCTTTGCTTGGTTGAGCAGAGTGAACAAAATTCTCATGAGGAGTCCAGTCCTCCCATGCAGTGCATCTTGATCATACCTTTAATGCTCAAAAGCATGTTAAAATGACATGAGTGCATCAGGGGTTCCAATAAGATCTATCAGCAGACTGCATGTCCAGTTTATCTGGGGAAATGTTAGTCTTCATCTGAGGTTTGGTTGGGATAAAAGTAGGACGCTAGCCAGGTATGACAAATGGCTCAAAGGGAACGCAGTGTGACAGTTAGGTAAGCTCTGCAGACTCAAATATTTGGATCTGTGCATACTGATTTTTAATTGGAAATTTGACTTTATCTCTGCTGTAACAATTTGAAAGAGAACTCATGTTCTGGTCAGGTTCTAATACCTTGGGTTGTTTTTTTTTTTTTTTTACTGCATTGATGATAATGGGCTTTCCACCTTGTTGTGAATAGTTTCTTCTGCACTCTGCCCATTTTCAATCAGCTCTTGTCAACAGATGTCCATGTGTTTCCTCTAGGTGGCTGACTGCAGCGACAGTGCTTTTTCCAACT